AGCAGGTGGGAGTCGTGCTGCATCTGGCTGTTTCCAGCATCATCCGGATGCTCTTTGGCTCTGAAGAAGCATTCGAGCCTGTGAATGTCACATTGCAGGCTGTGGGTATCCAGTTCTCATGAAAGAACAAGAATTTCAGGGGCTAAGTATCCTACTAAGTTAGTCTTATTTCTGAAGAGTAACAGGATTGATGGAAAAATAGACACTTTCTGGATAATTTATAGTTTTCTGGATAATTTGTCATTATTTTTGAGCATTAGGCACTTGATATTTTCAGCACAGAAATCAATTGTTAATATCTGATGACATGTATTAGAAACATTGTTTGGAACCCTGGAACAGAATGTTATCATTTCAGGTGCTGATGTGTAAATGCTCTGTCTACTTACTGATCCAAATACAGCAAGTAAGAATATTTTTACTAATTACTGGAGGTTTCCGGTTCCAAACATCTTGTTTATAGAGGAAAAAAACAGTAAATAACTCTAACAAGTAATAAGTTTAATGGCCTAGAAAATGTGTTCACGCTGAAAAACTGCCAAGGGAATAAAAAGAGAAGACAAAAATACTTCAGAATGAAACATGTTTCTTGCTGAGAACAAATATATCAGGAAAAATGCAACAAGGTGAAAGTTGTGATAACAGTAGATGCGTTATTTTCTTCTCTGCTATTAAAGAACGTGTCTTCTACTGTTAGTATTTATTATGTTCATACATATTTATAGAGGGCTGTGTATTTAAATCATGCGAGACTATATCTGGAGATGTTTATTTTCTTAATGTCTTCAAAGCCCTGGATTGGCTCCCTCTACCTATTTACATCAGTTTTTTCTTTGGGATAAAGTGGAAGAAGATAATTTGGAGAGGAAATAGGTAAGTGGAGAAGAAGAACAAGGGGGAGAGCTTGATAGCAAACATGCAAGTAGAAATCTAATAACTGTAAAACACATAACGTAGAGAAGTGGATTTCAAGGGCTTCTATTAGTCATGTTTCGTGGCACAGGAACATCAGATGAAATTGAAAGGTAAGTGTAAAACCTAATAAAAACGATGCTGTTACTCTGCGAACTTGCGGCACTGAGCACCATTGAGGGAGATAGGTTTTCAGCAAGTTCAAAGCAATGATATACACAGAAAAGCAATATTTATGATCTAGCAGTTTCAATATTTTACATTTTAAGCTAACCCAAAGGTAATGGAAGTTAAGAACAGTCATCTATAATCATGTTGTTCTACAGCTGGCTACTACAGAATTTCTTGTGCTTTCCTCCAAAGGTCTGGCCAAGTGTTGGTTGCTAGTCTGGTAAGTTGAGTCCGTACTGACACTTCATGGGACACAAACTAAACCTTTAATTTCATCTTAGGTTTCATGACTGCACAGAGAAAAGACAGAGAGGCCCTTTGGAATATATAGGTGTAATGTCTGTGTTTTTAGGCTATTCACGCACATGTAATAGGAATTAATGTTACACGCTTTTGTACTTGTGTTGTTTGGGGTTTCTAGCTCACTCCTAACGAGGTTCGCTCTGCCGGTTCTTTGCAGCTCCTGTGATTTCTGTGCCACCTCAGGACACCCAGAATTTCACTGGCAATGATATCATCTTTGGCTGTGAGGTGTCAGCCTACCCTCTGCCGCACCTCGAATGGAAAAAAAAAGGGAGTAAAATGTTTCTGCCAGGAGATGACGCCCATATCTCAGTACAGGTAGAACATGGGTTGTCAGTGGGTGTTATGTTCAGGGATTAACCAGCAAATTTCTCCTATGCTTCCTACACAAAGTAGTTTATCTGAAGGCAAGTGACAAGGTTCAATGCTGCTGCAACAGCAAGATTCCCAATAGGTACTACTTCAGGATTACGTGAGGAATTGTGATTTCAAGCAGTGCCATGAGCATTGTTCTGGCAGGCCAAGCAGTAGTGGTAAGAGGGAGGGCACAATCCAAAGAAAAGATGGAAGCTTCTGCTTATTTATGGTTCAATTGTTAATTGTTGTGTGTTGCTGGATGGAAAAAAAAGTTCCTCCCTGGAGGAGGCTTTGGTGCGAGTCAGTTGATACCGGAGGTCACAACGTTTGGGAGTTTGTGTTGTGTCAGGCCAATATATTGCAAACTGGGTGCTGAGGGTCAACTTGGTCAAGCCCCTTGGCCTTCAACAAGGCACCCAGAGTCATGTACTGTTCACGCTCGAAAGAAATTCCTGGCATTGAGAAAATGCCTTCGGAGCAGCGGAGAGAAGTGGAGCCCAGATCAGACAGGAGGAAAGGGAGACAGGCCGGGAAATAGAAGCATCAACAGGACCAGGGCTTAGAGCCCCACAGTAGTGAGGCTGTGCAGGGAAACAGGAATTTAAGGGGACAGAGATGACCAGAATGTAAAATATATGGCAGCAGAATCAAACAGTTTGAGAATCAAAGCATGATGGCAGTACAGGCTAAACAAAAGCAAAGGCTGGAACAATGTTTATTGAAAATGTCAATGTTTATTGACATCATTTTGAAAAATAATGTCTTGTAGCTACTTAATCGCCACTATTTCTTTGTCTTCTCAAAGGCAAGAGGTGGGCCTCAGAAGTATGGTGTGACTGGCTGGCTGCAGATTCAAGGTCTCAAAAAGTCAGATGAGGGCATCTACATCTGCCATACCAGAAATAAGTACGGCGCAACATACGCCTCTGCGAGATTGAAAGTGATCGACGGTACCTTTGGTTTTTATTTGGATGTGAAGAATGTAGAAATGCATAAGACAGGCAGCCAGCAAAGGTTATGGGTTTGTTAGAATCGAAATGAGAAATATGAGAAATGACCTAGAAGATTTCAATGTTTGAAATTTCTTTGTGGGTTTTTATTACTTTACCCCTTCAAAGAGGTTCAGTTCTAGGAATTTGAGTCAGAAGTGCGTATGAATGCTGAGGGGAAAAAAAATACTGATGTTAATTTTATGATACTTTGGTACAAAATATACCATCTTCCAATGTAACAGAAAGCTGTGGTTTCTAGCCATGGAGCCAAGAGAAGAGCTGCTCCCCATTCACGTCCTACACAAGAGCTTTGATGCTCGGAGCAGCGCTGCACCCAGCGCGACAGCTGCTGGAGCCGGGGCAGCCTTTGAACCGCGGCGCTTCTGCTCATCTCTCTATTTTTCAAAAGCTAGAAAGGAAACAGTTGTTGCTCTCAACAATAGCGTTTGGAGAGATGAACAGAATAGCATTGCTGTTGTTCTGCGTTGGACCCAGTCCTGCAGCGTAACATCCTCCTGGCTGCAGAGCTGGCAAGTGCAGGATAAAGACGCGTTGTCTCCGCCTGCCCCCGACGCAGGGCTGCCCTGTTTATCCGCCGGCTCCGCTTGTATCCGTAGCTGAAGAGAAGTTTCAGGGGACCAAATTCATAGCTCACTGGGATTGGGAATTAAATGTATTGTCAACGTGTTAAAATGTGAGTGGTCTGGAAATTTGGGACATGTATCACAGTGGTATGAGGTCAAGCAATTAGCAAGCTTTCTTTTAAAAATATGACTCCTCTGACTAACAAGTGCTGAGGAACATTGACTTTGCTGTACAAATCTCAGATCCCACCTTCCTCTTCATTTCTTTTACAGCTAATTTTATCTTAAATCCATTATGTCTTGGTGTGCAGGTTCATCTTCCACGTTTGCATTTACAGCTGGCGGTAGAAGCACGAGCTACAACACGGATTACGACGCTTATTATGACCACTCCGAGGAGGAGGATGAGGATGAAGAATATGAATCTGGAAACTATGAAAACTGAAACCAGCTATAATAATTTTTATACATCTATTGTCCAATACCTTTCACATTCAGTTGTATTTACTAGTGTAATCTGTGCTGTAAAAGGCTGCTCTGGTAACACTAATATTCACCTGCGCATTCCACCTTTCTCAAGGAGTTCAGCTTGGGCTGAAATATATTGTGCTACTTACCACAAATGAGAACAGATATAAGTTCCTATATTTAGACTGTTGAATAAAATTCCTAAATATGCATCTGTCTATTAATTATGCCGAAAGGATCAACTTTTTATATTAATTTTAAAAGTGGTAAATTATTGCATAATTTCTTTAAAATATTCTCTTTTGCTTACCAAAAAAGTCCATAGTTTAGCAAAAACAACAAAAAAAAGCTTTTATCGATTTCTTGATTTCTATAATGCACCAAGATAGATCAAGAGCTGATTGTTCACATGGCAACAAGCGTAAGTAGGAGGGTGGCAAGCAGTCTTTAATCTCCTTAGTTCATCTTTTCTCTTAAGTTCCAGGAAGATTTTTCTTTTCTTGAGCTTTTCCATGCTTAGTCAAGACTGAATTATCTGCAGTTTGGTGTTTTGCTTGGTTTAGTTGTACTAGATCCATGAAGCAATCGCAGTGTCAAGCAGGTTAGTGTTTTACCAGACACACTTAAAAGTGCCCGGGGAGCCCTTCTGGGGCGTCCTCGCTGATGAGGACATCCTCTGCGCTCCTCCCATGCCACTGCCCAAGCCAGTCCTAGCAGTGGCTGCTCCTTCCCAGGAGCCTAGGCAATGTTTCACGATTTGGGATCATTATTTATCCTTTGATCGGCATTATGCTTGGTGGGAATTACTGACATTGAAGGAGGGCGGATGCTCCAGCGCTTTACAAATGCCCTTCAAACACATGGAGATCTTCATAACAGATCCAGTGTTTGACCCTTCTGGACAGTCCCAGACTATTTGTCCTGTCTTCTGTTATTTCCAACCTGGGTGCATTTAGGATTCCCACATCCAGCCCTGCTTCTGGAAATGCCACCCAGAAAAGCAGGCATTATTTTCTTTCCTAAAACCACATATACATATTTTTCAAATTGCGTCAATGACTTCAGTGTGAACCAGGCTGCAAACCCAGTGCAACTCAAAAACTCAAGACTTTGGAATGTAAAATGATGGTCCCAAAAAACTTCTCCATTTGCTTCTGCTAATTAACTGCATGAGGTCAAGCCTTGTATGAGGAGGTGCTGGGAGTTTCTCCAATCTTCAGACACCAAACTAGAAACCAGTGATGGAGGCCTTTTCACCTAGGAGTTCCCATCGGCTGAGTAAGATCAAGTGTCTCATTTACCACTAAGGATGAATTCAGACCAATTCAAAGCCTCCTTCTTTGCAGTCTGCTTTATTCAATGCATAAAATCATGTAGTGACTCCTACACACATTGAAGTAACTCGAAGTTAAATAAATCATGTTAAGGAAAATTTAAGGGCAATCTTACTGTGTGCATGTCTGTGCATAGTAGGTTTTTTTGAATGTGCACACAGTGCTTCACAAACACTTTCATGTGGTGTTTTGTGCTTTTTGCCTTTTTTTTTTCATTCAATTTGAATTATTTTAATAGATTGGCTATAGACTGTATTTACCCTGAGGTTTTATTGATCTTCGACCAGGTTGCAAGTAAGCAAAGAATAATTTGTTTTGGTTTAGACTTCCTAGAATGTTGTGAACTCATGAGTAGAAACCATGCCATCCTGTCATTGAAAAGATTGTTTCAATTAGGAATGTCAAATGGTTTCAGATTTAACTACCTTTTTGGTTGTTACAAGTTCTTCCTGGTTTTAAGGATATCGCTAAGAATTGTTCTGCTTATTAAATACATATTAATTTGAACAAAAAAGAAAACAGTCAAAATAATTAAAAAAGGGATATTTTGTAATGGAATTATTTCACCTGCAGACACAGATTGAAAATCATTTGTGATCTCCATTACAAATGAATAAATACAGATTACTAAACCAGTGACTAAACTGTGGCACAATATTTCTTGGCGTAGATTAAAACATGGCAGAGAAATTAATCTCAAAAACATTAGCCATAGAAATGAATTATAATTCTTCACACCCTTCTACTCTTGCTAATGTAAAATGAGAAACAGAAAGAAAATAATAGTTTAAGGAGAAAATGTGTAGCAGAACCATATCAAATATGGGACTGAAGCTGTTTGATGGAATATGTCTATTTAAAAAAACCCTTTCTAGAACAAAGGGATTTTGATTAAATGCATTGCATTTGTGTTCGTGTGTAATTTCTTAATGTATTTAATCATTCATTGTGCTGTAAATTATTATAATTCCTCTTCCTTTCAGTAAGAAAGCTGCATAATCAGAAAAATCCCAAGGTCAGGCAAACAAAACAAAAAAAGGAAAGAAAATTGATACCACAAACTTTTGTTAATTCTTCTTTGGGGGGGAGCAGAAGGAGTTGGCTTTGTTTATATGCCTGAGTCACTTGAAAATACATTAAAAAGAGGGCGAAGGTTCAGTTCTCACTATGGAGCATTGCAAGTGAATGGACCTAATTGTGAATGCGATGCCTGTAGCCGCAGATCTATTCACATAATCCGAAGCAGCAGCAAATTCAGGAAGTTGGTGCTATTCCACCTAGCAGAAAGGGAGAGACAGACTTGAGCTGGAACCAATCTAGTTGTGCAGGGAGTTCTCTGTACTGGATCCTGTGAGGCAGATTTACAACCCTGCCATTGAATTCCGCTTCCATGGAGCGCAGCAAGAATTCTGGTGCCATCTTCATAGAATCATAGAATCTTCCATGGATACAAGCTTGAATTTTATGGCACAGCTTCCTCCCCTAGCAATGCCCGTCATACAGGCATCTTCTCTATGTTATCTCCATCTCCCCATGCAAGGATAGCACCCAAGGTGCTGGGCATTATATAAAATATTCCTCAATAAATTCCACTCCTTTTCACAGGTTTGTCCTTTGGGCCAGGACTCTGAGCTAATTTTATAGTTTAACTTTCTTACTTGCTATGTTAAATCTCAGGCGTTTGCTAGGTATTAGCCTAGGAATCCATTAATTCTTTAGCCAGACTGGTTTTTCTTTTCTTTTATTTTTTTTTTCTTTCCTTGGAATAATCAGGCTATAGTTGACAGAAATTGGATACAGAAATGCCTATGTCTGAGAGATTACACTGATGATTAGAAAAAATGACAAGCAGTTCCTGTGCAGCTGAATATCTGGTGAAGCAAGAAGGTGCCTTCTGCTGAAGCACTGAAATCCTAATTTCTGCAGGAGCTCATCCATTGACATGGAAAGACCAAGGCCAGAAGGGAATGGGTGTTTTTGGAGAAAAGGAAACACAGACTTGCAGCTGGCTCAGTGTTGCAGAGGCCACAACCCTCTATCACACTTTGCTGCCCATGCTGTTGCTGGGTTATGCTAAGCTCTTAACCGTGTAACTTTTTAACCTTGTTTCTGCATGTCTTTGCATAGCTTAGCTGCATAGCCCAGGCAATGGTCCATCACCTAGAGCGAAACTCATAGGCATCGCTGCCGAAGCTGAAACCCTGCTCACAAGGTCAAGGGCTTCGAAGGACATGCAAGACCTCAGCCTGCATCAGCAAGCTTCTTCTGGCTCTTTGGCTACTTCATGACTATATTGCATCAGCAGTTCTCCCATAGACTCTGCATTATAATTTATAGTTAACTTTTTATCACCCTGAGTCACTGTTTCTTTCCACATTTCCCTGGTGTGGGGAATTGCGGTTTTGATTTGCCTCCTCTGGCCCCTTTTACAATCTGTTTTGTTTCTGCACTGGGTAAGGGATGTAAAACGGTGCTAAGGCACACGCCAGCTTTGAGGCACAGGGATTGGGGACTGAGGAACTGGACCCACCTTTGCAAGAATGATCCATTTGATTTCCAGAAGTGCTGGCCAACAGCCTCAGTTACAAGGGAAACAGAATCAGAATCATTTTCCATATGGGTTTCACTGCTTTCTCCAATATCTAAGGATTTTTGTACAGAGGCTTATGCTTCAGCTGTGATGTTTTGTATATTGTATATTCCTGCCCCAATTAGAGTGTCATAACTGCTGCTTAGTACCCCTGCACACCAACAACACCTCCATTTAGGAAACAACCAGTCTATCTCGTGAGTCGCAATCCACCATCTTTTGAGTTAAATCCTTCCAGTGGCCAGCTGCCAGAACTGCATATTTTTATGCTGAATTTGCCTAGTTTATAATGATTACTATCAACTATGCTTTTTTCTCCTAAGTTAAGAAGGTGTCTGCATCCAAACACCTCTTTTTTGCATAGACACTTTAACACGTTGCTCAAGGCCCTTCCCATTCATATCTCTGGTAATCTAAATATTGATTTCCTCACCCTCTCATTACATGGAGTGTTTTCTTAATTGAATTATTCCTTTAAGAATATGCTGCCTTGGATCAGATTCTGCCTTGTGCTCGAGTTTAAGCAGCGAAGGAGCTATGTTAGTTCTAGAAAATGTTTGGTGATGATGAGGTGCTGGCAGCTTCCACCTCTTCTCTGTGGGGAGTCATCCGATCAGAAACTGAGATAAGGAGAACCTGCAAACTTAACTTCTTCCCTCGTTTTATACACCCTGCAGAAGAAGCCAGGCAGCTCCAGACAGAGATCTACAGATTTAGCTGAGATGGAGCTGGAACCATCTTCTGCTGCCTGAATTTGAGTTTTCTTGGCTTTTCCTGCTCTCCAGGTGCTCCCCCTTCCCAACCACCTCGGGCCTTTCCAGAGTGAGCTCCCTGCCCCACTGCGGCTCTGGAAGTGCCCTGGCACCGCGGGCTCCGGGACGCCTTTTTTGGGAAGTGCCAAAACAGCGG